AGAGGGAGCCAGAATGACTGTTCGCCCTCTGTTAGATGCTGCTCTGATCTGATCTGAGTGTTTTGGAAACTGGAAGTGCCGTGAGCTATTGTAAGTTTTGCAACTGCTAGCAAACTTTGAGTACCAGACTGTTTGTATGATTATGGATTATTTGGATTATCCACTAACTGAAAGACATTGATGACTGTCTTATCCGTGTATGACTTGGACTGTTTGATGGACTCTGATACCTCTATTTCCACGAAAGTAAAAGTCTATTTAAACTGCAGTGTCTCTGTATGCTGATTTGTGTGTATCCAACACAACTCTCACAATGCTTCTCTAAACGCACTCGCTCTCCCAACAGGGAGCTTACCAGCCACACAATTCAAGTAAGGATGGGATGCAGAAAAATGTATGGAATGGTTATATTATATAGGAGAAAGTCATTGTATTAAGTATCCCAATGCCAAGCTGTTTTGAAGCAGAAACATGTCACCATTTTTGGATACTTTGTGTTTTGACTGCATTGGTTTGTTCTGGGTCCATCAATTAAGCAATGCCATCTAATGAAACTCAAGAAAGTAGGCTTCCCTGTCATAGAATCTGCTGTCTGGAATAGCTTCCCTCCAGAGATTAGTACAACCCCATCTTGCCTGCCTTTAAAATCCTTTTTTTCATCTCCCAAGATATGGGATAGATTAGAGGTTGATGAGGTTGGGGATTATGTTGTTCTTTGCACATTGGTGTTTTTTTTAACGTTTCATTTAAGTTGGGAAGATGTCCAGAGTCTTTGGAGTTCAATAAATTCAGTGAATATCTACTATATTCTGGAACTACAGACTTGGATACCAGTGCTTTTATACTGCAATATCTTTATTTTGGTCTTTCATTAGTGTGATATAAAAACGGAGAGCTATGAAATTAACAGTTATAACATTACAACGATCTGTCTAAAATTTCTAAGGACAGTGACTATAGATTTACAAGGCTGAGATAACAGAAGACCATAAAACCCAAATCCCTATAAAGTGCTAGGGGTTAACTAAAAATGTACGTTTTAGTGTTGAATAAAATATAAGATAATGTTCTGTGCTATCTAAAAAGGCTAAAAGAATAAGCGGTGGTAACAAAAGTACAGGTAGTCCTTGACTTACAATCACAATCGAGCACAACATTTCTGTTGTCAAGTAAGACATTTGTTAAGTAAGTTTTGCTCCATTTTACGACCTTTCTTGCCACAGTTGCTAAGTGAATCACTAGTTGATTACTAACCCTGGTTGTTAAGTCTGGTCACTGCTTGTCAAAAGGTGGCAAAGGGTGATCACATGACTTTGGGACACACCGGTCATAAGTATGAATCAGTTGCCAAGCACCTGAATTGGCAAAGGTTGTCACTGAAAAATGGCCATAAGACACTAGATCTGCCTGGACCAACTCCCTAGTTAGTTTTGCTGACTGAGGAATTCTGGGAGTTGAAGTCCACACATTTTCAAATTGCCAAGATTGAGAAACTGCTGTATAGGGATTCTTTCCCCGACTGATTCTTACACACATGGTTGACTAGTTTGTAGTTCTGCAAACTTAACCTGTAACTTTTGCTTCAGTTTTTCTGTTAACTCAGATGACTCTGGCTTCAGATGAACCCATCTACAAATTATAGGAAATCAGGAAAACACGTTTGACTTTAAAGTTCAAACCCAGACCTTAGCAAAATCAAAACTGCAATATCACCAAATAAATGTTTACCGTCTGCTAAGTCTAATTGTTTACCGGTTGATACCCGCTGATTTTATTTTTATTTTTTAGGTAAGAAAAAAATATTTAAACAATTTTTTAGGATTAAAACTGGGAAATCTTTTTTTACCTTTTGATGCTATTTACACAAAGTATCCTGGCGTTCCCTTGAAATTATTCAAGGTTATATATATATACGGTATATAAAGTCGTCTGGTGGAATAATGCGCTCTTAAAAAGGCTCGGTAAATGAACCTCAAAACGGGACTCCCATGAAGACATGGCAAACGGAGCGAGGCCAATTCCCTTCTGTCACCGATGAAGGGGCTAGGATTTACTCCTTTCCCACCAGGTTCTCGGCCGTTTGTTGCCTGAGCAGAGGGTCGGACTAGAAGACCTCCAAGGTCCCTTCCAACTCTTGCTTCTTCCAGCTTTTTCCGCCTTGATTTGCGACCCCGCACTTGAAAATCTCCTTTGGTCTTCCGTATCGCGACTCCATTCGGCCGGAAAAACCTCGATTCTTCCTCCTTCCTCTTGCTGGCCTGAGTTGAGGGCTTGGGGGCGGCGCCGCCGCCTCTTTGCCGCTTGAAAGACATGGCCGGCGGTGGGGCTCCCTCCTCGCTTCGTGTGCTGGTGGACATGGATGGGGTCTTGAGCGACTTCGAGGGCGGGCTGCTCCGCGACTTTGTCGCTTCCTACCCCGAGGAGCCTCACGTGGAACTGGCGCAACGAAAGGGCTTTTCAGCGCTGGATCAATACCGGCGCCTGCGGGAAGACCTAGGGGTGAGCTTCTAGTAGCTGGATCCCGGGGCAGGAGGAACTCTGGATCCCCTTGGTTATTCCTGCAGCTAAAGGAGAACGGGCAGAACTACTGTATAGGGCAGATCTCAGGTTTTCTCCTTATATGAAGCGTCTAGCATTTTTAAAATTTAATTTCTGGTCATGTTGAGATAAACATAGGAACGTTAAGGGGCCTTTACAAAAAAAAAAACCTCTGTATCTCCTTTGAAAATTATTTGGAAGATTTCCTATGCAAACCAAACATACATCTAGTGTTCCTTAAAGCCTGCCCAACTTTGTCAGGTTACCACATCTTTTTTGTTTTTTTAGGAATCGTTTTTGTTTTAAGGAATCATTCATCAATCCACCTCTTAAAGAAGCGGGGTGTTTGTTTTTTTGAAGCTAGCAAAAGACTGCAAAAGTTGAGCTGAGTGCCAGATTATTGCAGTATACAAGCCCCAAAGCACCTCTTGCTGATAAATGAGTACTGTACAACTATTACAGTATTCTGAGGCAGGGGAGAGCATTTCTGCAGTACAGGTAAAGTCGGCAGCTTTAAAGTTTTAAAATAAAGTTTTAGCTGAAGCATTGTAAATCGGCTTGATGTTGTGAGCTTTTAATTGGTGGAGTGCTTCAGAGTGCGACCACTTTTAAAAGCACTGTATTGGATATATATATATATCCAATACAGTGCTTTTAAAAGTGGTCGCACTC